GCTGGGAAAGTATCCAAATATAATTAATTAGTTGAAGACATTATAATATGACTATATAGTGAAGTACTACAATAATTAAAAGATATGTAGAAAAATACTAAGTGATATGGGAAAAGAGACACAACAAATTAAGGTAGAAAAGATTACATACGCTATTATTTGCCTCATCTATATTTTAGTAACTATTTTCTAAAGTTGTTAAAAATTAGTATTTCTATGTGCAATCAGAATGAATGTTCTTTCATAATAAATATGTCACCTGCAGCAAATGTTTTAAGAAAACCCTACTCTGGAGCTGTCTTCAACAATGTTCTATTATCACAGAGCTTAGAAATCTCCACAACTGTGAGGGTACCACTAACTTCAGGAAAATGAAGCACCAGGCCTATTTCAACTTTGTGTTCTCATCTTGGCTGTCTATGCTCAGTAAGCAACCTGCCTGCCTCTTCACAGATGGGCGAGAGCTGTGTAATTGTCCATCATTCTGCTTCCCAGGCTTTCATGTAGAAAAGATAAAGGAGACACTCACGTTCATCATGTACCACAACAGATTATCACTCACATTCATTATGTACCACAACAGATTTTCTCACATACGGGCTCCCCAGGGATGGCCCCTTCATCCAACTATGGTGGTTTCTGCGGCTTCCAGCTCTGTGGGAACTCTGAGTTCACATAGGGTCAACCCAAGAGAGCCTCATCCTATTCCCACACCACACATTCTCTTGTCTCCTGCTCCCTGCACCCTTGACTTCCCTATTGAGGGAAATGATTCCAATCAAGTCCCCCAAGTAACAGCAAAAGCAATATGATGTGCTCGTGCTGCCAGGCAAAGTGTGTCCACCCTGGATCACCACGAGAGGCCAGCGTGACTGGCACATGGTAGGCAAAGGAAGAAGTCTTGACATAGGAAATTGCCTAAAGCACATCTTGGTAACTCTACTTAGTAATATTAGTAAATGGAGAGTTCAAACTCTCACAGCTTCACATGAGCAAGGCCTAAAACCCTTAGGGGTTAAAGTTAGGAATCAACTAGTTAGACAAGCATTCCAGGTTAACTGAAGTATCGATCACAGGAGTGGTAAGTCTGAAAGAGACTGTGGAGTGGGGAGAGAATAAATTTCATTCTGCACTTCAAGGTTATCTGTTTCAATGGCAACTATAATTTAGCTCATTAATTCTCTCACCTTGAGTCTTCTCAGAAGTGGTGGTAGCCACTGCCTTGAAGGGAATCTTTTAGCATATGGGTCTGGGATTTCGTTTCTCAGAGAGTTTTCTATGTTGTAGTGTAGGAGCTATATATAATGTTTCTAACACCTCCCTGATTTCTCAGCATACTCATGGGATACACACCTAAGCCCCACATGCTTGTCTAAGAAGTCCATGGGAATAGCTCCCATGGGGCTAGCTCTGAACCAAGGCAGACAGACAAAAGGGAGGCTGGGTAAATCCCTCTCCATTTGTCTTTAGATAAACCTTCTTACAACTGGCTATTTAAGCCATCTCTCACAGAAGATGATCCAGTAAGATTGAGCCATCACTGTTTATCCTGATCAAGTGGTTGCTGACTTAACAACCTTCCTTTGTATTATCGTTTTCTCTATTCCTTATTCCCTTCCATTACCTAAGTCTGTGCTTCCTAATAAAGAAGCAAATGCATGAACATAAACCTCTACCTTATGCCCCGATTTCTATGGAAGCCAAGCTAAAACAAAAATAATTGGCAGGCACAGCCATGGTGTCATGCTATAGCAAAGATCTGTAAGACAAGCAACCAAGTTCCTAGATAAAACTAGCCTCTTCTTCTCCAGGACCAGAGAATCCTCCTAAACTCTCCATGAACCTGGCCCAAAGCCCCAGACCAAGGCAAGGAGAACCTAGTCATGAGCAAGTGGACAGAATTTCCCAAAACTTATTCCTATATCTGCCTTAAAGCACATTGTTAATGCTGCAATAGTTTATTGTTAATGTTTTAATAATGCCAGCTCCCAGACCTAGCCAGTCAGAAGTTCCCTATCTATTTTTTTAATAATTTATTAATTTTTATTTTATGTGCATTGGTGTTTTTCCTGCATGTATTTCTGTGTGAGAGTGACAGGTCCCTTGGAACCTGTTACAAACAGGTGGGTGCTGGGTCCTCTGGAAGAGCAACCAGTGCTCTTAACTACTGAACCATCTGTCCAGCCCCACCACCACCACCACCACCACTCTGTGTTTGTATGTGCAGGTGCAAGAAGAAAACCTTGGCTGTCACTCTTCTGATGACTTGTAGTTTTGAGACAAGATTTCTCACTGGACTAGAACTCAAAAGTGGTCCAGGCTGCCTAACCAGCAAGCTCCAGTCAGCGAGCCACCTGTCTCCCCTTCCCCAGAGTTGAAATTACAAACACACATCAGCATACCTGACCTAATGTTTTAACATTGAGTTCAAAGAACCACTCAAGTCCTTATGCCTACCAGGCAAGCATATCATGATCTCTCCCATTGGAAGACAAGGTTTTCTATAAGCACAACTCAATCCAATATGTCAAGATTTCATGGTAACTAAAATACCTTTAAATCTAGCAAGCACAGGGCTGGAAAGATGGTCCAATGAGTAAGAGCATTGCTGTTTGCAGAGTACCATGGTTTGGTCCCTTGTATCCACATCAGGTGACTCACAAGCACCTGTAACTCCCATTCCAGGAATTCTGACGCCTTCTTCTGACCTCCAAGGGTACCGGCATATATGTGGTATACATAAAGACCAGCAGACACATACACACCTACACATTAAATATTTTTTTAATCTACCATTTGTAGTAATTAAAATGTCATGCTTGACTCAGACTGGCTCTGGTGATCTAAACAATATAGACAAATAAGAACATCTAGTTTCATCAAGAAACTCTGTTTGCTTGCATTTCCTCCATGGCTTCCCTATTGGGCAGGATGCACTGGGGCAGCTGCTGAGGCCTTTAGGCTGAGAGAGAAGACTGCGCTGACCACAGTCGCTGACTGTTGCAACCAAGCAAAAAGCAGGAGGAGGTGCTGTAATGACACAGCTCAGGAGAGTGTCGGGGACCAGCCTCTACAAAAATAGCACTTTCCAGGGTAGGGGCGTGGGGATTTAGAAACATTAGTAAAGAATATGAAGAAGCATATGAAAATAATAAAGCAGAAAAACAGGAGGGAGTTCCAGTGAATACTGAAATCGCCCACATTGCTTAAAATACCCCTGACCCCAAAAGGTAGGAGTAATACAAAAACTATGTTAACAAGACACAAGGAAATGAACAGACCAGTTGAAGGTCACAGCTGTAGCTACAGGGGTTGGGGGTCCTGTTGCTAGAACAAAATAAGTCATGCTTACACCCTAGACCAAAATATTCTGTAGGCAAACCACTCCCTGGGTGGAATCCAATGTGATCTCCTTAAAGGAACTGGAACCTTAGTTGGATCCTAGACTTTTGTTTGAGATAGAAACATATCTACTTCTCTATTCCTGAAGTACAAGGTCTGGGTATTAGCCGTACCTGTTGCAAATAACCTCTAAATCTAGGTGGGACCTTTGTTTGGAGTAGAAACACAGTAACCTTGAAGAAATAAAGGTAAGTTCCAACTCTCTCTGACCTTTGGTCAGCTTGGAAACATGCTTGCATGTTTTGCCCTCCACAGAGAGGGAAACAGCAGGAATGCCCTGGCCTCGGGAGGGAGCAGAGGATGCCACCAGCTACAAGAAATGCACCACCCACTCTCGGATCTGGAGGAGAAGGCAGAACAGGCAGAAGGAAACCATGGAAAGGCATTTTCTCTTTCGTTTGGCACATTTTTCCCACAGCTCCACCATTGTCCTCCTAAAAGCATGAGCCAAAGCAAACGTGAAGCAGACACTCAGCAGGCACAGTGTGATAAAAAGTTCCCTATCTCCTCACCATAGCATCTCCTCTGCTACGCCACTTACGAGTCCTCGCTCTCGCCCAGAATCCTAACAGCTGAGTCATGAGAAGCGACAGACTGAAAAGAATACTTCCCTTATTTTTTTTTTATTTTTCAAGCCAAACATCCATACCAAAGTGTAAAGACCAAACACAGATGAAATCAAGTTTTTTAAAAAGCAATTTAAAATTTTTTGATGTTTTCTTTCTTTCTTTCTTTTTTTTGGGGGGGGGGGTATCGAGACAAGGTTTCTCTGTGGTTTTGGAGTCTGTCCTGGAACTAGCTCTTATAGACCAGGCTGGCCTCAAACTCACAGAGATCCACCCACCTCTGCCTCCCAAGTGCTGGGATTAAAAGCATGATCCATCACTGCCCAGGTGATACTATGATTTAATTACATTTCTCCCTTCCCTTTCCTCCATCCAATTCCTCCCTGTTCTTCTTCAAATTCATGGCCTCTTTTTTCACTGTTAGGGCATCTAGGAGGTATTTAAAAATATAACACATTAAACTATTACTAATTATATTATATACTATTTTTATAAACTTTATGTTATTTGTAAATAAAATCTAGAATATGGCATATTATATATTATATAATACTTAATTATTATTACAACTAATTGGTGAGATCCTCTCTGGGGATGACCTCCCCTCCTGCCCCCAGCTTTCTTCAGTTGCTTGTAGTTCTTGTGTAGGCTTGAGGTCTTATGGGCTTTTCCTGTGCAATTTGGCATGTTCATTGGCATCCTCATTGTTCAGCTCATGTTTGGACAGGCATGTTGGGGAGACTTCGTGGGTGTAGCTTCTGATAATACCATCAGACACTATCTCACAGCAAACCCCCTTTTATGGCTCTTACAATCTTTCCACACCCCTCTTCATCAGTGTTCTCTGAGCCCTAGGTGTGAGGGCTTTGTAGAGGTGCCCATTGTGAAAACTACCAACAAAGTTCACTTCATATAATCTGTAGTGTGCATCAGTTGCACTATGTTGAATTAGGAAGCGGCAGGGCTGCGTCCCCGGCACCCGGCCGCCCGCATGGCTAGTTTATACCCAGAAATAATTACACGGAAACTGTATTCTTTCAAACACTGCCTGGCCCGGATAGTTCCAGTTCCTTATGGCTAGCTCTTACATATTGTTCTAACCCATTTCTAATATTCTGTGTAGCCCACGAGCTGGCTTACCAGGGAGGATCTTAACCTGCGTCTGTCTGGAGCGGGAGAACCATGGCGACTCCTCACACAGCTTCTTTTTCCCAGCATTCTCCTCTGTCTACTCCGCCTACCTAATTTTCTATCCAATAAAATGGGCCAAGGCAGTTTCTTTATTAATAAGAAATCACTCCCACATCATTTCCCCTTTTTCTGTTTAAACAAAAAAGAAAGGCTTTAACTTTAACATAGTAAAATTACATATAACAAAACAGTTATCAAGTAAGAATTACAGTTACAATATTTATATCTATTTTATCTCTTATCATAACTAAGGAAAACTATAACTAACCATTCTTCAACTCCATCAAAGACTCCAGAAGGATATAATATTACCTATCAAACAAGAAATAAGAAAACTCTAGAAATGACAGAGACATCTCGCTGCCTGGACAGTCACCCAAAGTTCCTCTGTACCGTTGGGGCATCCATCTTCGGCCTACAGGCCCATAGTATCCAGCAGACATTCTCATCAAGCAAGAAATTCCAAAGACAGTTCAGTCACTTTTTGCTGTGTCCTGCAGAATGTCTCACAGACTCTTTCATGAAGCAGGAACCCCAAAAGGTCATCTCACCTTTAGGCAAGTTCAGCAGTCCTCTCTCTGCGGGTTCTCTGTGTCCAGTTTATGCAACAGTCCAGGCAAGAGCAGTTTCTTGCCCAAATGGCTATCAAACTCCATAAGGATTCTCTTCGATGCCCATCTTCCTCTTGAAATAGATTGGTGCTGCCAGGAGCAAATGTGTCTCATTGTCATGAAAAACCCTAAGTTATTAAAATATCTTAAATGCCATATTCTGCAGCCTTTGAAAGATATGAAGAATGCCTATCTAACTAAAATATCTCTCTATATATCTAGAAAATCTAACTAACATGACTACAAGCTTAAGTATTAGCGATGATTATCCATTAACAACCTATATTTCCTAATTATACATTACATTTTTAAATGAACTACACAATCACAATACCTTAATCAAGATCAAAAATACATATACATATAACAAAATTGACCATAAAATCCATACCAATGCAAATTATTCATATCTATATCATATCCCCCTTTAAATGTAAAAGAACATTTATAAACAATATTTGGGAACATGGGCGTAGTTTTTTCTCTACAAACTGCTTCCTGCTGAATAGGGGCGTCGTTAATTAGGTTGTTCATGATATAACCTGTATGCTAGTTTCATCTCAGTTGGCAATTGAGCGAAGCAATTTTTTGAGGGTATTCACAGCAACCTTTCAGGAGGGCGTGGTCTATCATACCAAATCGGAATAGATGCAATCCACAGGGTCTCATCCTCTGCAAAAACAAAAGAAGACCCTCTCCAAAGCATCATATCCTTAGACCCAAATTCTGAAATCATAATACCCTTATATCCATTTTGGTTTAGATTGGCAGCCCATGTAATGAAATGTCTCTCTGTACTTAGCTCCTTCACAGTCAAAAATTTTAAAGAAAACACAATGTACATAATCCAGACTCTCTGTGAATTTTCCATTTTTACGTGGCTTATATTTCTTTATTTCTTTTAATCTATAACTCTCTGTACTTCTGTACTCTGTCTCTTTAAAGACTTTACCCTTTTTCTTTTTAAGACATTAACTTTATTCTTTATATTCTTTTTCTTCTCTTTCCCAAGCCTACGTACATTTATCCAACAGTGTCTGAATCTGTTTTATTGTGAATCTGTAATTTCTTTACTATACAGGAGCATTTCTTAAAATGTTAAGCATTTCTTAAAAACTTAAGTTGCACCATTTACAGGTAATACGGTACTGCCTGTGTCCTGCCCAGTCTAAACCTTAACTGCACGGTTTTAAGGTAATTACGGTAGTTCCTGCTGAGATCAGCACAGTTCAGCATGGAGCAGCTGCTCCTGCCTCAGAGTCATTTGGTGCCCCTGAACCATTCACAGTTTCAGGCACACAGCAAGTCCACATTGGAGCCGCACTCAGCAGTTTAACTCTGAGACTGAGTGTGCAGCACAGAAACTCTTTTCATCCAAGTTACAGCCAAATCTGACATGCAGAGCACTGCGCAGTCTGAAAATGCGTCTCTGTACAGCGGCAGGAATCCGCCATGCTCTTCCGCCTGCCTAAGCCTGATTCTGCCGTCTGCCCAGGTGCAGGCGGGAAGCGCTGAGCCATCGGCACAGTCTCAGAGCACTCTCCTCCGATCCCAAGCGGGAACACAAACATCCAGTCCCATAAAAGCCTTGAAATGCTTTAAAGCCAGAGTTCACGCTGGCAGCATAGCTCCAGGAAGCAGCGCTTTAAAATGACGCGGCTTTTTTTTTTTTGCTGTTGCTGAATCAGGAATCTCTCTACAGAACGCCACCAACAAAACAGCAAAAATCTGTGTTAAACTCTCTCTCCCTTATTTTTAAGCCTTCTCAGGTTTTTAAGTGGATTTAGCCATCACGTCTGGGCGCCATCTGTTGAAATAGGAGCGGCGGCAGGGCTGCGTCCCCGGCACCCGGCCGCCCGCATGGCTAGCTTATGCCCAGAAATAATTACACGGAAACTGTATTCTTTCAAACACTGCCTGGCCCGGATAGTTCCAGTTCCTTATGGCTAGCTCTTACATATTGTTCTAACCCATTTCTAATATTCTGTGTAGCCCACGAGCTGGCTTACCAGGGAGGATCTTAACCTGCGTCTGTCTGGAGCGGGAGAACCATGGCGACTCTTCACACAGCTTCTTTTTCCCAGCATTCTCCTCTGTCTACTCCGCCTACCTAATTTTCTATCCAATAAAATGGGCCAAGGCAGTTTCTTTATTAATAAGAAATCACTCCCACATCAGCACTACTGAGATACACCGGAATCAAAGCATGTAAGATAAATAGTCAAGGAAACTACTTTTTTTATTTCTGCATTTCATATAAATCAGGTCAAATATTTCTGAGACAACTGCAGACAGGGAAAAACCAAGTGGCTCTTGGTATCCATTGTTGCCAAGGAGGAGAAACCACTCCAGAATCATTCTCCAGCTCTGGGACTCTCAGAGTCCCAGCTCTCCCCCTCAGCTCCCTGCCTTTTCACAACCAAGCATAAAGCAATTGTCGGCTAGTGGCTTCTAGAACATCTGGGACCCTCATCCAGACACACGGGTGCTCAGCTTCCACTTTACTCTTGCGGAAATTCCTCTGAGGATTCCAGGATGAACAACTCCGTGTGTCTTTTAGGGAGCACAAAGCCTTCAACAAAGTGATTGAAGCAGGCAAGAAGCTTCTAAACTTTAGGGTGAAGCAATGAGTCTTAGCATAAATAAAGTTCCCATTTTTAGTTCTTTCTGAATTGTAGAAAACTTTAGGTTACTTTTCATTCAAAGGAGCAGAGTGAACTGTGATCCTTCCAGGAGGGTAAAGACAGAGAAGTGGCACCAAGCTGAAGCTACACTAGTAGTTAGAAGTGGCATCAAGGTGAAGCCACACCTGTTTAGAAGAAACTGGGATCATTCCTCAGATTATAACAGAGGAACTGGGACAGTAAAATTTCTCACATACCTCATCCTCTTCCATAACTATTATAGGTGTCACCGTCCTGCGACTATCTCTGCCTGGAACAGTGCTGTGCTGCCTAAAGGTAGAAAACGATGGGGGAACACTTTCCCTGCTTGCTGACAGGAAGGTGCTAGGTATACAGAAGCCTTGAGAAGTGCTCAAGAGCCCACACTCCAGACATCAGCAATCTCCTTGCATGAATTAAATAATTTTCCTCATGTAAATACCAGGGAAAGAGAGACAAGGAAAAAGAGCACTTTGTAACCAAGAACAGGAAAAGACAATGACATATCCAGGAAGGGCATGGATCTAACTTTATTCCACCTATGTTCAAATCCTGAATCCTAACAAGAATTACAGATATACAACATTGGCCAAGGACACAATCTTTCTGTGCCTCTATTCCCTCATTTGTGAAATGAAAATATCAACTGCTCCTAAATTGACTGTAGGAATTTGCATATATGGTACTTGTAAAATAACCTGCCCCCATGCCTGACAAAGTAGCTGCTCAATTAGCATACACTGTTAGAGATGAAGGAGGCAAGCTTTGAAGAATGATATTAGAAATGCTGTCAGAGGCACACGGACCTCTTAGTGGCAGGCAACAGCAGCTAGAGATGTGGCAATGCAAAGCAAAACAGAGGTGAAAAAGAAAGGAGGGAGAATTGTATGTGAAAACATTACCCAAATGGGAGGTCTCTACTTACAAAAAAAAAGTGTGTGTGGGGGGGGGGGAATGGTGGAGTTAAGCTAACATTATCCAGACAGCTCTGAAAGATGAGATTCTCTTTGCTGCTGTAGAGTTCTGGAGCAAAGGGAAGCACACTGAGAGCAGGAAAAAGTAACTGACCACAGGCCCAACAGGTATATGTGAGAGCACCCAGTGTGTCTTGACATGCTGATGAAAAGCACCCAGAAAGTGGTACTTGTGGGACTTCATGAATGACTCCAAAATCATTGAGAATTAAGGAAGAAGGCCTAAGGGAGGTGGTTCAATGGATAAAACACTTAACACACAAGCTTGGGAGATCTAGTTTAGATTTCCAGCACCTTTATATGGTGGCACTTGGGTGGCAAAAGCAGGACTCCTAAAACAAGCTGCTTACCTAAATTGACTGAATTGGTGAGTTCTTAGTTCAAGTGAAAGAACTTGTCTTGATATATAGGTGGATATTGATCAAGGAAGACATTTGGCATCAACTTCTGGCCTCTACATGCGCATGTACACACATGCATATGCATCTACACACATATACATGCTCACATACATACACACCACACATACGCGTACATGTTCACACACAAGCACACCTGTTCATATTCACACACATACACACCAAACACACACACGTATACACATTCATACACATACACACCAAACATGCACACACAGAGGAATTAGAGAAGAGTAGAGACACATATGGAATGATGAACATACTATAGTTTTGGTAAGGCCCATGTAGCTCTAGGAAAGGGAGTGGTGCAGAATCTGCTAACAGGCAGGGAGCAGAAAGAAGCAACTGCATCTTCAGAGATGACAAACAACTGGGATCACTCCTCAGGCATCCAAGTGGGAGGGCACAGAGGTGGAATCAGACTGGATACAGAGGAAGAACATTATCAAGATGTCATCAAACAAAAAAAAAGGAAGTAGAAAGTCACTAAGAACCATGACTCATGCCAGGAAACAAGCATGTAGGACACATCACAGGAATATAGCCTACTTTGAATCAAAAGTGGATAAAACCTAGTACTCTACCCCTACAGTACTTTGGTTTATTAATGTTAGCAGAATGGCCTACATTTCCCATGAATTCCATTTTACAAAGCAATCTCCCTCCCTGTGAAATGCTTGTCTTTTCTTCTGAATTATCCTGATTGTCTTCTGACTCTCTCCAGGCCTCCCTATGATCATCACCATTTGTGGCAGCATAGGCAACGTCTGGCACCTCTACAGAGGGTCCTTCATGTGGTTTTTCGTCTTTAAACTGTTTCATCTGCAATCTGTGTTCATTCACCTCCCCAAGGCCAACATACATCAAATATCAAATTATTGTAAATACCAAATTATTGTGGTTTTATTGAAACTTTGGAGATATTAAGTCAAAGAAAAACAAAACTATTTTATGAATTTTTTAGACAAGATGACCAGAGAATGTAACTGAATGTGTAAAAGGGGGAGGGGAGAGGTAGTGTGAAAACGAGAGAGAGAGAGAGAGAGAGAGAGAGAGAGAGAGAGAGAGAGAGAGAGAGAGAAAACGGGCCAGCAGTTTTCTCTGGGTACCCAAAAGGTCACACCCCAACCTGGTCCAACCTCTTCAAGATCATTGTCTGAAGGAGATTCCCCATCAAGAGAAACTTTGGGCCAAGACTCAAGACCAAGTTCAAGAGACCCATGAAAGCTTTCCTATCATGTATCCACACTGCAGTGTATCTATATGTAGACACAACCCCTATAATCACAGTGAGGAACCTACAGCACATCTATGTGTGGACTCCACCCCTATAGCCACACTGAGGACCCTACAGTGCATCTATGTGTGGACTCCCTGCCCAGGAGAGGGTCCTTGAACATTTTTTAGAATTCCTATAAGACCTATAAAATTCCTAACCAAAACCTACTAAAAATTTTTATTCTTCACTTCTCAGCACTTATTCCATGACTTTGCACCTGCCTCTCCTTTTCAAGAGGTAGCCCCTGGGTTGGGGCTGTCCTCTAGGACTTTCTATAGATTGAGTGCATGAATGTTCAGGTATTCATGCAAGTACTGTTCATGATGGCTAACTCATGGAACCTACCTAGCTGTCCAGCAACAGACAAACAGATAAAGAAAATGTACCATATATACATACATTTTTCAACCATAAAGACAAAGTTATATCATTTCAGGATGAAATGGAGATAACCTTACTAAGTGAAACAATCAAGTCTCAGAAAGACAAATGCTGTGTGTATTCCCTCATATACAGATTCATAAGACCACACATATGTAGATGACATGAAAGACATGGTCCAGGGAAACAGATGGGTATTATAGAAGGAGGAAGGGGGAAAGGAGACTAAAGTGATAGAAGGTGAGCATACAATACATACTTACCCAAAAATGGTCTTAAGTAATAAAGAACCATGTTCAATGAATATATACAATAACCATTTAAAAAATCAATAATCAAGAAAAAACGAGTTCATGTGGGATATTCCCTAGTTCTGACTTATTCAATCTTGAATAAAACAATATGTGGGACAGCCTCTGATGAACTACATTCAAATTCAGGCCACCTGAGGTATATATCAGATCCACAAATGGTTCTAAATATGATGGGCTGAGCTTCTGCTCACCCATCAGCACTTGTTGACATAAGGATTCATCCAAAGAAAAGGTAAGAATATTTGGCTATAAAGAAGGCCAAATCCATATGGGAAGAAACATGTTCTAAGAGACGCCTCCTCCTGAGATGGGATTCTACAGGCTTTCAAGATAAACTTCCAAATTACAAAGACAAAGAGATGAGCATTTTGTCATCACAAAGTTGCAGCCCTTTTGAACTATAGAAAGAGAACTTTTAGGCCAAGACCAAGAGTCAGCAAATGTCAGCCCTATAATAAAGCAGGATGGTGACCATCTGACTAATGAAGTTCTTTTCTTGAAGCTTAAAACATGAGATATTCTATTAAACATTTATCCACCCCACTGTTACAGGGTAAGTATAATACTATAAGAAACACACAACCATTTGCCTATTGTAGCTATAACTAAATATTTGTTAGACATACTTTATTTTATGGATTTTGAGGAGGACTATGATGTAGCCAATGTTTACCTCAAATTCCAAATCTTCTGAGTGAAATGCAGGTATGTGTCACCATGCTTATCTTTTATAATCAAAAACATAATTGTCACCAAAAGTCAAATGTTCATGAAAGGACCATGGCAAAGATAAAGCACTGCCTCAAATCCTCTGCTAGCACCAGTCTTGAAAAGACCAAAAACAAGCCAATCAGGAGAAAATGCAGGTGAAAATGAACCCGAAATCTTACACACCTCAAAGTCTGCTTTGCCCTAAATCATATCCTTATCACAATGTAAAGATTCATCCCTTATGTCCCTACAAAGATGATTCATTCTCTGAGCCCAAAAGTCCTCTTACAAAACTTATATTTACCACAAGCGACATAAATCTGAAATTCAACCTTGGACTACAAATTACACTGAACAGCTTGAACATGCATTTATCCTCCAGTCACAATAGAACGCCTTTATCCACAGTCACAGTCCAAATTCTTCAGAC